AGGAGGAGGAGAGGGAGGACAAGAAGAATATGAAGAAAAAGAAAAGAAGAAGTAAGACGAGGAGCAGGAAGATGAGAGAAAAAGAGAGGGACATATTTTAACATATTTTGAATTTTTCTACAAATAGATTCCTAGAAATGAAACAACTAAGAAAAAGAGTTTAAATATTTGAATGGTCTCTTTCCAAATTTTTAAACTGTTTTACAAAAATCTATACAACTTTACAATGTCACAGTGTTTAAAAATTGGCAGCATTGAGTGTTATTTTTAGAAGTTTTTTCTTTTCATTATGATTTCTCCATTTCGTCACTCTCCATTCATTTGCTTTTCTCTCTGGCTTTTTCTCTCACCTCTCTGCAACTGCTCTTGTGAGGTTTCGATGAAGTCCATGTCATTAAACCCAATAACTGTTTCCATCCCTGTTTGGATTGGCTGCTCCTCAGCAGGATCCATTCTATGGCTCCCGCAAACATGTTCATCCCTCTTCTTTGGCTTTCCTGATACCACACTCTCCTCTTTTTTTCTCTCCCTGTCAAGCAACTCCTCTTCAGTCTCTAACCAATGTCTCTTGGCCTGATCCTTAAATTTTGACTTTTATGCCTTCTTCCTATTCCTTCGATGACCTTTCCCATGAGAACAAATCGACTTCTGTGAGTTTAATAACGATCTATAAAGCAACAACTCCAAAATCTGTACCTCTACCCCTGACTGCCTTCCTGAGCTCCAAACAAGTATTGCCATCTGCCAACTCAGCGTCTCCACTTGGATGTCTCATAGGAACCTCAAACCCATCTTTGAAGAATTGAACCAGTACTCTTCCCATGCCACTCAACCTCTTCCTTCTTTGGCATTTTCTATGGCAGTAAAAGGAACTATCATTACACAGGAGACTTCAAGACAGAAACTTGGGGACTGTTAATTAAGGAAGAGGATATGAAGAGCACAAATCAAGGAAGCCCCAGTGGACTCTGGGCTCACTTGGTTGCAGACAGTCTTGTACTTGAGCCCTGGCTTGTTCAGGATCATCTCCAGCTGTTTGTGGTTGAAATTGGACACCCCAATGGACTTGGTTAATCTTGCATCTTTACACTTCTCCAGGGCTTGTGGAGGAGGGAAATGTGTGGTAAACTTTTCGTGTACTTTGGCCCTTTCATTTGACATTGAATGTTTTAAAAACTGGAAATCTGTTATCACATATATCACGATTTGACTGAACCCATATTATCACTTTGATACATTTTTTCCTGATGTCTTTTATTGCTAGCCACAGGTACTTTGTCTCCTTGTTTCTATAACATGCTCACTCAGCATGATAAATAGACATGAAGATGCTTTTACTTCCCTTCCCTCCCCCGCTTCCATGTGCCTGTTTTGCTGTTAGGCATCTAATAGTCATTTAGCAAACAGAGTCAGAGTTAACGGCTAAGAGAAACTCACAGGTTTTCCTAGTAAATGGTTTGGCTGCTTCCACTTTCCTAGAATGGTGACAAACATGGTATGAAGGGCTAGAAAAGGGCAGGCTTCACTCTCCTACCTTCCCCCCTTCTGCTAAGTCATATACAACATTCTCTCCCTCCATGGGCCTGTTTATCTGTCCTGGGATGGAGCTCTAACTCCTCTTGAGTTTGCTCTAATCATCCCCACATAGAGCTCCGAGGCTTAACCTGATCAGTAGAGCAAAGAGACTTTTACTTAGAATCATAGAAGTTTAGATGAAAAATAGTCCGTAGAGGTCATGCCATTAAGCTCCCTTCCTTTACAGATGAGAACACCACTGTACAGAGAAGGGCAGTGACATGGCTGAGGGTAGACAACTGATGGGGCCAGAACCCATTTCCTCTGACTCCCCATCCAGTGATTTCTGCCTTGTTACCCAGCGCCTCTTGGGTGTCAGAGTCAGCACTTACCTCCCATGTGTCACGAAAGTCCACTGTATCTAAAATAATTTCCCCATTGGCATCCTTTGGCACAAGCTCCTCCCCAGGCTGGAATACAGAGAGGAGAGGTGACGAAGATGAGGGATTTTATTTAAAGAATGACCTTCCTGGTGCCTAAGGAGCTTGAAAGTGACAAAACCATCAAGAGGCTAATCCAAATGTTTGTTTGTGGATGAACATATTTGTGTGTTTTTGTTGTATAATAGAAGACATGGGGGAAAGAAGATCAGAAGCATCTGAGAGACTGTAGCAAAATCTCTCTCCCCCAATGACCTCCAGCCTCCTGTTCACACACACCAATGAACTTCAGTAAGAATGAATTCTTCCCCAAGGTTGGAATTGATTTGATTTCCCAGGGACTGGCTGGTTTGGATGACAGTATTTACCTTTGCTACTGAGCAATGTGTTTTAGCTTCAGTTTATGATAACCCAACTCAGAGGTAATGAAGATACTGAATGTGCTCAGTGAATGTCGACTATGATGAGAAGTTGGATCAGTGAAGCCCAAAGGAGCCCAGTTGTGTAATATGGACCCTCGCATGATACTTCACTCTTGATTGGAAATGAGAGATCCATATGGGAGGGAGTCTCCCCCTAAAGAGGTGGGGATTTCTTATTGTACCTCTGCAGTCTGTTGTAACTCAACTTTCTTGAAGACCCTAATCACCAAGAGACTACAGACAGAAGCATATCACTTAGAAATGTAAGGTCATGTCCTCAACTCTCTGAAGTGGAGGCAGTGAGATCATTCAATTTCAATCCTTCTGAATGCTATAAGTTAAGAATAAAAATAATCTTGATGGCGAAGTGACACAACTGTCAAGGAGGCTCACGAATCATTTATCAATTCTATCCACCACACTCAGACCTACCTCTCTCAGTAAGAACCCAGAAAACCCAGCCAGAATGAGAGAATGGAGGTGCAACAGCAGTGATAGAACACCCTTGGGCATAACAAGGAAAAGCAAAATCTAACCTTCATAGCAATTGACACATGAATGAGGAAGAGATCAACATAGTACAGTCCAAGTTTCTTCAGTGATCTTTCCAGTGCTGGTCAAACCAATTCTGGTCGAAGGAAAGTAGCCCAAAGCTGCAGTGACCAAAATAAATAAAAAATGGCTTGTAATTTCCCATATTCAGGGACGCAAACTAAACATCATCGTTAAAAGATTGAGAAGTGAGTAACAAACCATTGTGGTGGTCTAAATATATGAGGCGCTGGGTCTACATTTATGTGACTTGGTAAAAACGAGCTCCTTAATGGGAACTGAGATTTATTTGAGTGACTGTAACAAAACTGTGATTAATACTTAGATGGCCCAGGAAAAACAACCTAAGTGTTTCAAGGATTAGAAAAGTCCTCTCTGGAAGGAGAGTCAAGAAATGTCAGGTAAGGGGAAATGGAAACTACTGTCCCATATAATAACTGCCTGGAAACAATTCTGCTGAGAGGACTGCTTTTCAAGAATTCAGTATCACAGATGTCAACACACGTAGCATAATTCTGTATAAGTCTCAGCTCACTTGATATTGGAAGCAGGGTTTCCCACCTCAGAAAATTTTACACAATGCTGACTTGAAAAAAGTATTTCCTAGTCTGATTCTCTTTTCTGAATAATATGTCAGCCTCACTTGGAAATGTCCTGAGAAAAATCTCCTGAAGAATAAAAGGAGTGGAATCACTCCATAGTAGCTCAGTCAATCCATACAACAGATATAGAAGAAAAGTATCATTATTTGTGCTTCAAATATGAATGCTCATTGATGATCAGAGAGGTTGAGCAACTGGGTCCCATCTTTAACACATTTCAGGGCAAAGCAAGCCTTTTCTGTTTTCTATTTTTTTATAATGGGCCTCTACAATGTTAGGAGATATATAGCTAAGCTGACAGCAAACTCTTGTCACTCTGCCCACAACACCTTCCTGGTGTAGAATATGTCCTCTCTCTTCACAGTACCATCCACCATCATCTCTCCGAGGGCCTTGCCAATCTACTCCTCATTTTGATAGAGGTATGCAGAGTCGATGTGATGGAAACCTACATCAATAGCCACTTTGGTGGCCTCTCCAGCCTTGCTCTTAGGAACCTATAAAATACGAATATGGAGTGTTGGAAATCCACCCAACTCAGAGAGAAGCAATTTATTTCCATCATAGCATTTTCACCAGCTGTCTCCTGTTGTCTCTGGTTCCCCAGTTTGATGGTGCAAACCTTGATAACAAACCTGTCCTTGGGAGGCACAGACTAAACTCCAACATGACCTCTAATCTAAAGTGACTTAGGAAAATGGGCTTCACCGTAAAATACGGACAATCAAGTCTCTATCAATAAAGAATTCATTGTATGGAAGTAACTAACAGGAAACCTTCTGACGTGGAGAAAACTTCTAAAGATATAGATGTAGATAGATATAGATATACATATAGATATATACGGTATAGATATAGATACAGATATCAGCATGTATTTTGGGCATTGAATTGGAAATGTATCCATAATACTGGTATATTATCCATCCAGTTCTACCCAACTAAGCTCTTGAAGTCATTCATGATTGTTTTTTTAGCCTTCATTCCCCAGGTGCTCTGATTCAACATTTATGCAACAAGCATTTATCAGTGCCTCCTGTGTGCCTCGCATTACGCTACATCCTGAAGCCCTGGGGATTTAACCATTAACAATAGACACCTGCTTAAACCTCCTAAAAGAAAGTGTAGAGGTAAGCTCCTTGACTTTGGTCTTGGCAATCGTATTCTGGATTTGACACCAAAAGCAAAGGCAGTAAATGCAAAAATAAACAGGTGGCACTACATCAAAATTAAAAGTTTCTCCACAGCAATGACACCATCAACAAAGTTAAATGGAAACCTGTGAAATGGGACAAAATATTTGCAAACCACATATCCGATAAGGGGTTAATATATTAAATATACCAGAAAGCCATGCAACTCAATAACAAAAAAAATATAATTAGCCCAATTTAAAAATTGGGCAAGGGCCTGAATAGACATTTTTCCAAAGAAGACACACACATGTCCAATGGACACATAAAAAGCTGTTCAGAAATACGAATCATCAAGGAGACGCAAAGCACAGCCACAGTGAGACGCCACATCACAACTGTTAGATGCTCACAAGGATGTGAGAGAAGGGAACCCTTATGCACTGTTGGTCGAAAGGTAAATTGGTATGCTCTCTGAGGAAAACTGTGTGGAGGTGCCTCGAGAAATAAAAGATAAAGTTACCATACGGTTCAGCAATTCCACTTCTGGGTATTTCTCTAGAGGAAACAAAATCATTATCTCAAAGAAATATCTCTACTTCCTTGTGCATTTCAGCATTGTTCTCCCAGCAAAAGTATGGAAACAATCTTTGTGTCTATTGATGGGTGAATGCATAAACAGTATGTGGTATATATATATATATATATATATACACATACACAATAGAATATTATTCAACTTTGGACAAGAAGGAAAGCCTGTCATTTGCAAAAACAAGGATGATATTGGAGGGTATTATACTTAGCAAAATAAGCCAGACAGAGAAAGACAAATACTGCATGGTGAAATCTGAAAAAAATTCGAGTTCCTAGAAACAGAGAGTAGAAAAGTATTTGCCAGGGGCTAGAGTTTGGGGGAAAAGGGAAGACATTGGTAAAATGGTACAAACTTTCAGCTAAAAAACAAATAAGGCTTGAGGATCTGATTTATAACATGGTCGCATAGTTGATAATACTGTACTGTATAACCGACATTTGCTAAGAAAATAGAATTTAAATGTTCTCACCGGAAAAAAAAAAAAGGTAAATATATGAAGTGATACATGTGTTATACTTGATGAGAAGAACCTTCTCACAATGTATACATGTACCAAATCAACATGTCATATGCTTTAATCATCTTAGAATTTTATTCATCAATTTTACCTCAATAAAGCTGAAAACAATTTTAAATATAAAGTGCACCAATTGGTTTAAAGAGAGTATAACAGGTAATTTGCAGAAAGGTTGTGACGAGGATTAAATGAGAAATGTACTATATGGAGTCAGTTATTATGCCACACAGTTGTCACTCTACCTATACCTGCTTGGCACTCAAAATATCCTTGTACACCGACCCAGACTTCCAACTGAGAGCATCTATGCTATCCCAGTCTCTGCCTGGGAGACTTCTATCACCACCAGAGTCTTCAGGAGAGGATCTCAACAATTAGGTAAAGAGGAGGTCTTATCCACTGGATGCTAATTAGCCTCTACAGCTGATCACCCCAGTACTTACATGATGGGCCCATGAATGGACTAGCCATGTTGAAAGGTATTAGGACCATGCATGGACAAACTTCATGGGCTACTTCTTACCAAGGCTGTTTGAGCTCCCGCTACTTTGACATCGGTGACTGTCAGCAGAAGCAGGGACTGACACTGAATCTGGTAAAGAACCGTTCCTCCTGGAGACAAGGCAGCCCCTGGGTGGTGAGTTGATTATATTAAACTCTTGATCTATCTGGGGACAGAGCAGCAATTCATCTTTCCTGAGACTGATAACATTCTATGTATGAGTTGCCATCTCTTTTCACAGTCCCTCAGACAGCATTACTATATAAGGGCTACAGAGAGTTGGATTTATCATTATAGGATCCCATGTAACATTGCCTATTTGTTCTATTCTCTGTGGTCCTTTTCTGTCTTTAACAACAGTAATAGAAGTTGGATATTACATAGGTAAGACATACCCTGTGCTTAATCTATAATGGTGGATACAATAAACAATTATGTCATTGAAAACAAACTGGCCCTATCTGATACCCATTAGCTATTGATATTTCATGTCACAGCTCTACCAAGATGGAGCATATTGGTCTCCATCATTTATGGGAGAAATCTCTCCTGAGAAACCCCAAAGCTGCTTCTACTTCACGGTGATCATATGTTGACACTTTAAATGCATTGCAGTTGACCAGGTGGATGTGTGAAGAATACATTTGGTGAGAAGGACAATTCTGTCTCCATTGTTACTTTGTGCCTCCTAAGTCTTCCTTCCTAATAGATAACACTTAGAATAATAATGGCTTCTGATATGAAAAAATGTTTCAATGATGGAAATCTTTGGCAAATTCTTTGGCAAATACCTCCATCCCCAAGAAACCTACAGCAAAGCTGCTACTAAGTAGTCACGTTACTTTCTCTTTCTTCCTGTGCCCACTACCCATCAGGAGTTTCTAACAAAGAGAAGAGTAACTCTGACTGAGGCAGGAGATGAGTGCAGGGAGAGCAACCTGAGCTTAGATTTTACACTCGTAAGAAATAAGAATTCTAGTTTACCTAGGAGAGTTGCTGAGGAATTAAACGTAATGCATGGAAATTACTTAAAATACATGCTAAGCATACAATATATGTTAAATAATTGAATATGTTAAATCAAAATGATAACTATGATAACCCACTCTCAAAATTCCCACCTTCTGAATCCCCTGAGACAACTACTTGTCATCCTACTTAGTGAAAAGTTAGAGATGGTGAAATGGAGGCTCGCTCTTATTGACAGAGGTGAGAATTGAGATTCAGTTTCTTAGGAAATTTTAGTAAGTCACCCACATGTCAAGGAAGCTATAATCTGATCACAGTTCAGTCTGATTCATAGGCCATACTAAACACTGATATGGTCTGACCATCAGAAAAGTAACGTGACTTTACTATAAAGTCATAAAATTTGAACAAAGCAATGATGAGAAAGCCATCATCTTTTTTTTTTTTTGTCCTGAGGAAGATTCACCCTTAGCTAACATCTGTGCCAATCTTCCTCTAGTTTGTATGTGGGTTGCCGCCACAATGTGGCCACTGACGAGTGGCGTGGGTCTGCACATGGGAAGCGAAATCGGGCTGCCCAACCAGAGTGCAACAAACTTAACCACTAGGCCATGGGGCCATCCCCCAACATCATTTTTGATGCTATACTTAATTCATGAATATATGTGAAAAACTTGTACCAATAAGTACAATTTACCAAACAACTACTGGTCCTATCATATAATTGATATCTCCACACAATCACATTCACACATTTGACACACATACACCACATACACAGCACCTTTGAAGTGTAGAATATGTCTTCTCTCTTCACAGTACCATCTTCAATTTTGCTTCGGATGGCCTATTCAGCCTCCCTGTCATTAGAGCGAGAAGTGGAACCAGTTAACTTTTCTGTTTGTTTTATATCCAAGAGAAAACTTAACGAATTATTGTATGGTGCTAAATAACTCACTAACTTGTTGTACAAGTAAATTTTTTGTTTAGGATCCACATGCATTAGTAAATTATCACAAGAGATTTGCTGAACAATTATTGACCATATGTTAGACTATAAACCTCCAGATACAAATCTCTGCTTTGTTTTTGTCATGATGAAGTTTTTTCTTCATCATAAATCATTTGACATACACACACACACACAAACAAACAATTCGGAGGAATGCTTAATGAGAATTTTTCAAAAACTTGATCATCAATAATGAATTAAAACTTCAAATTGAAATAAAATTAGCCTTTTTACCTTTCCCATCATCAAAATTATTTTTGTTTTTTTAATTTACTTTATTGAAAGAATATCCAGTCATAAAAAGGGTGCAATCCTGAAAAGGGTGCCGTAAAAAGACAATCTGGCAAGGTGATTATTGGAGTATTAATTATTAACAGTTTTGGATATCATTTGCAGCATACAAACCAAACCTTAGAGTGTTTATATCTTTCACCCAGTTATATAACATTTAGAAAACTATCAAGATGTAACTAACAAAATAACTGGTGAATATTTTATATAATTTATTATCTTAGCAGTATTCATGAAAGAAAAAACTGGAAACAACTTAAATTATAATAAACTTTGGAGGAGTAAGGGAAATTAAGAGGCATTGAGACAATGGAATATTATGAAATGATTTAAAATTGCACACATAGAGTGATGTCAGCAAAATTATGGACTAGGAAGCTCTATGCTACCCCACAGGAACATAAGGAAACAACAAGAAACTAGCTGAAATAATCTTATAGGAGCTCTGGAAAACAGTCAAACAAAGATATACAGC